TACCCCAAAATATGGAAGCAGCTATGGAGTTGGGTGTTGCACAGAGGCTGGAAGAATTTGGAGGAGCAGGCTAGAAAAAGCCTAGATGCTGGTGAGATTTTAGAAGAAAAGACCAGGGAAAGCTTGGAACGTCTTAGAGATGGGTTTAATGGTGATGTCCAGAATGCTTATAGAAATTTGGACAGTAAATGGTACTCTAAGGAGGTCTCAGAGGGAAATGACGAAGAGCTTATTGGAAACTGAAGCAAGAGTCACCCTTATTATAGAGTTGCAAGGAACTTAGCTGCATTCTGTTCATGGCCAAAAGTGTTATAGAATGTGGAATTTAAAGGTGCTGAACCAGAGTATTTAGTAGAAGAAAACTCTAAGCAGCAAAGTATTCAGGCAGTTGTATGGCTACTTGCAACAGCCTATGCTGAATTATGGCAGAAGAGGCATGATGTAAAGGCAGGATTTATAATTAAAAAGGAAACAGAAAATAAAAAATTGGAAAACTCTCAGCCTGGGCCTGTAAAGAGTGAAAAGGCATTTTGGGAGAGGAAACCAAGGGTTGCAGTCCAGCAACTGTTTGCTAAGGAGATTATCAAGAAAATGGAAGAAAAACCTTGAAGATATTTCAGAGATCTTTGAGGCTGCCCTTTCCATCACAAGCCTAGAAGCCTAGGGAGACAGAATGGTTTTGGGGAACAGGTCTGAGATGCCCTCCATGTGCTCACTGCCCAGGGCTACTACCTCAGGATGCTGCTCCCCAGACCCTGGCTGCTCCAGCTGTTCCAGACACTCCAGTGGTGGTTAAGTTGACCCCAGGTGTAGCTCTGGACCTGCTGCTTTGGGATATCCAAGCTGGAAACCCTGGTGGCACCCATGCAGTATTAAGTCTGTTGGCTCCCAGAAGGCCAGAGCTGTGCCACCCAGATCTCAAAGGATGTCCCCCTGGGGGATGAGGAAGAGAGCCATCACAGGGGCAGAGTCACAGCCTAGGACCTCCACTAAAACAACACCAAGTAGAAATGTGGAATTGGAGTTGCAGCAGAGAATCCCTACCAGGGCCATCTCTAGTGGAGCCATGAGAGTGGGACCACCACAGAGACCCCAGAACTGTAGAGCTACCAGCATGCAACACAAGCCTGGGAGAGCTAAAGCATGGCTGGAGACCAGGAAAGCCACAGGAGCAGAGCTGCCTGAGGACTTGGGGACCCAACCCCTGTACCAGTATGCAGAGGATGCTGGACATGGAGTCAAAGTACATGATTCGCCAGCTTTGAGATTTAATGGCTGTCCTGCTGGGTTTCAGACATGTTTGGGACCTGTTACCCCTTTCTTTTGCTCTATTTCTCCTTTTTTGAACAGGAATGTGTACTCTATGTTTGTCCCACCATTGTATCTTGGAAGGAGATAACTTGTTTTGATTTCACAGATGGGACTTTGGACTTCTGAGTTAAAAACAAGTTAAGACTTTGGGGATTCAATGAACGCACTTACCTTTGAGAAGAATACAAACTTTGGGGGCCAGGTATGGAACGCTATGGATTGAATTGTGTCCCCCAAAGTTTTATACATTAGAAACTTAATCCCCACTGTGATAGTGTTGAAGGTGGGAAATCCTATTATGGTAATTGAAAGGTGGGGACTTGAAGAGGTGATTAGATTGTGAGGACTCTGTCCTCATGAATGGTCTGATCCATTCATGGAGTAATGGGCGTGATTCTGATGGCTTTAAAAGGAGAGCAACTGAGAAGCTTATTTCTCTCTCTTACTCCTGCCATATTAGCCATGTGACACCCTGCATTTCTGCAAAGAGTCACCAGCCACCAAGACCCTCACCAGATGTGTTCCCAGGACTTTGGACTTACTAGCCCCAGAAACTTAAGGAATACATTTTATTTCTTTATAAATTACCCAGTTTCAGGTATTCTGCTATAAGCAATAGAAACATACTAATGCAGAAAGGGTGCATCCTTTCCAGGCCAAAGGGTGTAAAGTGAATCAGCAGACTTGCTGGAGCCTGACAACCAAGAAGAGGCAGCAGAAAGCCTTGTGTTCTAGGCTGAGAACCAGCGTGCACTATGGGTCAGTTCTCAGGCCCTTCCAGGAAGTTTCTCTCCCATTGTATGTATCATCCCATCTACTCGAGCTTATGAATCATGAAAAAAAAATGATGATTTAATTTCGAAATTACATTTGCAGCCACTATTTTGCAACTTTGGAGTTGTTCCCCTCATGATAACATTTTTGTCCAGTTAGGTGGATTTTGTTATTTGTTTGTTTTTACTGTTTTCATATCTGAAATCTAAGGGACCAACGTAACAACAAACTTTACATAAAGAGACTAAATCCTTCTGCAAATTCTACATTTTTCTAAAAATCAGAATACAACCATTTTCTAATAGATAAAATCAGTTAGCAGTCAGGGTACAAGACAGATGGAGACATTAACACTGTTCCTGATTTCTAAGCTACCTTCTATTAATGGTGGTTTTAATGGATTCTCTTTTGATGGCAAAATAACTAAAATTCTGGAGTTCCACATAATGTATGTGGAAGCAGCTTTGTTCTTCACAGTTCCTTCATTTGAGGAGCTCAATCCTGGGGAAAAGGGGTGGGAGGACAGACCGGCAGCTTGTTTCACCAGCATCCCCATGTACAGGGTGTTAATTCTATGCCAGGCATTTGCATCCACAACCAAGCCCAGCATCCACCAGGCCATATTACCAATGAGCAGGTTATGGTTCCTCTCCCTGCTCCCATGGGTGGCCTGCATTCAGCAGATCAGGGGGGCTGGCCTGGCTCTTCCTCATGGCCCTTCTCCATGAGGAGGCAGCCCAACAGGGCCTGTCTATGGCAGGCTCCACAAATATCACTACTCTTTCTTCTGCTTCTCCACCTGTACGTCTCCACCTTGGAAAACAAGTTGGTTTTTCCCTGTTATCTGGTTATCTTCAATTCAGTGAAAGGGGGTAAAAGGTTTCATGTTAGCCTCAGGCCAAAGACTTGTTCTGCAATCTAGCTTTACCTTAATAAAGCAGATGCTTTGCCCCCTATAGGTCCAAGCCACAATAAGTTAACAGGCAAAGGGAAGAGGAGACATGGGTTGTCCCCCCAAACCTCTAACACTTACCAATCTGGACAAGGCTCTGGACCCAGCATAGATTACACCCACAAACAGCACCGAAGCAGGAAGCCATGTGAAAACATCAGATCTGGAAAGAGGGAAAAAAGCCATAATACATTTGCCACTTCATGTTAAAAAAAGAACCAGCTGGAAGGCTGGACCCTTCAGAGGTACCAGCAATAGCAACAGAGGTTGTCTAAACATCCCTGATGGGCACATGTAGTGGATTGAATTATGTACCCCCAAAACTCCCTGAAGCTTGCATTGTATCCCCCAAGTTTTATGTATTAGAAACTTAGCCCTGGGCCGAGCCCGTGGTACACTCGGGAGAGTGCGGTGCTGGGAGCGCAGCAGCGCTCCCGCCACAGGTTCGGATCCTAT